TGGGACTGGGGCTGACTGGCTTTTATCTGTCCCGAGGCATACGGCGGCCCCGGTCCACAGGTGACTCGCCTCTCCTGGCCTGGAGGCGAGCACTCCTCCTGCAGGAACTTAGTTCCCTCCGCCTCTCTGCCCTGAGCCTCAGGAGAGGCCGGAGGGTTACTGGACCCAGAGGCAACCTCCTCTTCCCCTGACGGGACTGAGAGTGGAGCACCTGCAGGGTCCTCCATGACTTCAGGGGCCAGAGCAGACTCAGCTGGTGCCTGCACCTGAGGATCCAGCACAGGTGAGGACCCTTCAGTCTCAGGCCCCAGCCCTGGCTCAGCTGGTTCTGGAGGCGGGGACTCCTGTGCAGGCTGGGATTCCTCAGGTTCAGCCTCTGAGTCCGAATCCCAGGCCAACACACCCATCTAGTTCAGCTGCCTTTTCTCATCATGGCCAACCAGATGCCTCTGGCTGGGAAGCCAACAGCAAACAGGGCGCAACAGCACTCTCCCCATTTGTGCTTCCCAACAACTGGTAATTGGGGGGTGGCACCCTTCCTCTGATTCTGGAGGGGGCAGGCGCACCAAGTTGCACCTAACACTGGAGGGCAGGGGAGAGCCGCCGTGAATTTATGATGTCACATGCATGACACCCCTCCAACCACAGCCAGACCAACTCAACCCACCATCTCCCACCCACCCACTGCCAGCCCCCTTACCTTTGTGAAACGACACGACAGGGCAAAGATGCTTCTCCCTGTTGTGTCCCTGGTGGAGACTGCCAGGGCACCTTCCAGGAAGGCCCTCTGGTGATTGTCAACGGGACATGCGGGGGAAAAACACTTTGCCCTGCCACCTCCCTGGCGATCCTCAAAAGTGTTTACACCCTTGTGTGTCCTTTTGAGGATCGCTGTGGAATTGGGGGGGCTCGTCCCCTTCTTGAAAATATTGGGGGGTGGCCCTCTGCCGCCCCCCTAGATGATGCCCTTGAGAGGGGTACATATTCAGAAATGCCTACATCCACCACCCATACACCTGAAGGCTGATGTGGTACCACCTAAGCAAAATAAATTGATCCTGCTGGATGTGTGCATTGCCCCTTGGACAGAGGCTGAACTTCTCTTAATAGCACCAAAGAAGGCCAAGGATGAAGATGGGACTGGATGTTTGTGTGTGGAGAGGGTGCATGTTATACACTCTGTTTGTGGGCATCTTCGTTCAGGAAAGGGGGTCGAAAAAAAATTCTGCTCAGGAGAAACCATACAAGATTGCTGTGGGCACCTCTGACTTTGAATGCTGTTTGCTGCTTGCAGGAGGGCTGGATCCTCTTCTGTTGGCTCAAATGTCAAGCACCATCCCTCCAGCTCTGCCTAATGTACTTCGCTCTTGGACCTTTCCTATAGGGGCCCATCTGAGCAGAATCCAGTTATCTCTGCAAGACAACACCTATTTGAGAGGCGGAAAGCACAGGACCCCTCTGAAAGGCATCCTCGCTGCTTCGGGAGTGTCTGCGTGGCAAGCGCAAGTGATCAAAGCTGCTGATATCGCCAGCACCTCTGTCAGGGCTGACAAGCACATCATTACAGCCGCAGCTCCCTCACTCTGCTGTCCTCCATCCGACTACTTGATCAAAATCCCGTCTGAAACTTATCTGACCAGACATGTGTGCAACTGAAGAGCGTCAGGAGTCACTCATCTCACTGCCTTGTGAAATATTTGCACATAGGAATGACAAATGAGAGGCTGGATGAGAGCCAGACACAGAGGGAGGGAGAGAGGGAGGGGGAGGGGGAGGGAGAGAGAGGAGGTGGAGCAGGAGGGGGGTAATGATCTGAAACTGTACAGTAGTGGGAAAAGCAAAGGATTTTGCTACTCAGCCAGGGCTTGCTCAATAACAGGAAGGGGCAGGGAGGCAGCAGAGGGTCCATGAGTGTGACTTGAACTGGGGGTCCCAGTGGTCGTGCCCCAATGATTTCCTTCCCAGTTCACCCCTGCAAGCTTGACAGGTGGAGGCCTGGGTTATACATGGCAGCAAAGTGAGATGGCTGACTCCCAACAGGGTAGAATGGGCCAGGCCACTTCAAACTGGAAGGCAGGCACCATTTATGAGTGTTCCTCTGTGGAAAATAACCTCTGCAAGTTAACAGAGATGTGGAACTAATGCAACAGGGAGAAAAGCACGAGTATTCAGGAGCATTTAAAAATCTGCGCTCTCTCTCCTCCAACTCACAACTTGAAGTGGTATAGTCCATTATGTACTCTTAGGTGTCTCCTGCTTAATTCTGACCTGATTCTGCTGCATCTGCTGGTCTTTGGGGATGGCGGGGGGTGGGGTGGACTAGGCTGAATCACCAGTCTGCTTAAGAACATAGACAGCCCACCTCAAGGGCCACTCCTTGACCTCCAGGCCCATGGCTGACCAGGCCTCTGATCTTGCACCTCAGTCCTGCTGAGTCTGTCATGGGTTCCTGATTCCTTTTCCTAATTACTACCTTAGATCATGGCTGCTGCTTAGTTTTGACCCTGCCCCGCCCTGTGGTTCCTTGTTCACTGCTCTGAAGCTTGAGCCCCTCCTGTTGTGGGCCACATACTTGTCTCTCTCCTGCATGGATCGACAGGCAGCCTTGTACATTGGGCTGCCGAACCTTACTGGATGGAGACTGGTCCTGCCTTTGCAAGGGTCTAATGCCGCTGAACACAATATCCTTGTCAATGACTCCTGGGCTAAACAGTGACTCTGCAGCCTACACTGATACTGATCCAGGATCCCCCAAATCCTAGGCTTACTTGAAACCCAGTGTGTGGGCGAAGAGCCTATGGAAGGAAGAGAAAGGAAGAGGACTCAGTTGCAGGCCTGGACTTAAGATTATTGAGCAACAGAGTGGGTGGTAGGTCTGGTGATTTGGTCCCTCATGAAGGCCTGCAGCAGGATGCTAGGGCTCTGTTGAGCTCCCATACTATTGAGTCGTTTGCTGTCTTGGGAGCTGTCCATGGTCCTGCTTCTGACACTGACATTGCCTTGGCTCTCCCACTCTCTGCTCCCAACGCAGGTTTGAAGCTACTGGTTGCTGCCAGTGCCCAAAGGCAATGCCATCATATGCACATTTGCCGCCCCCAGATCAAAGACTCTGCTGGTGAAGCTGTGACATCCCATCAACAGCTATCCACAGACAGAGAAGAGATGCATGGCAAAGAAGTATCCACAGAGAAAAGAACCCCAGATATACTCAAGCAAAAGAGTTTGAAGTTTGAAACACTCAGGCATATTGCAAAATAGAGAGTTTTGGTACGGGCTATTCGTATTCAATGGGTGTGTGTGTGAGAGAGAGTAAGAGAATGCATGCACACACATAATCCACATTTTGCTGCAGGGAGCCTGGTATTCCACAAGCAGAACAGAACATGGCTTAATTTGCACTCATTTGCAAATTAATAGAACCTCAAACTCTTACGCATTATCTTTTTGTGTCCCTTATCAACCCTGTAAGGTGGGTTAGTATCACCTGTTTTGCAGAAGGGAGACAGACAATGAGATACTGTGGCTTGGCTCCTTTGTAAGTTCTTGGCAGAGGTTCCAGATTTGATGGGGAGGAATACTGTTTGATCACAGAGTACATTTTTTGGTTAGGGAAGTTCCTAGGTTCAATCCCTGACATCTTCAGATAGGGCTGGGAGAGACTCCCTGTCTGAAACCCTGGAGAGCCACTGCCAGTTAGTGTAGACAATAATGAGCTAGATGGAGAAAGAGTCTGACCTGATAGAAGCATTGCTATAATGCTTCTTTTCCTCTGTAGCTCAGCCCTTTAAGTGCTATGTAACATCCACACATACATAAAATTTAACTGGAGAAGATTGTATTTTTTTTAGTGTTGGCAAGATTGTCTGATGTTCTTTCCCAGTTCAAAATCCCCCAGTGAACTGGAGAATGGGGTTTTCTAGATTCCCATTGGACCAACAAACTCAATCTGTATGTTCTCTGCGTTGTGTTTCTTTAATGGCCGCCCAGCTCTCGGGGTGACGGTATAATTCTTCCTTCTCATTCCTCCATCCATCCTTGAGAATCAAATTCATCCTCTTTTATGAAGAATTAACTTGTTGGAGCTGATTTATGAAGAGTGGCAGGCGGTGATGGCAGAACAGTGCTCTAATACGTTCATCATAAAGTCCTGTAGTTATTCCTAAAAGAGTTCATGTTAATGCCTCACATTAAAATTCATATTTTATTTCTACATAACGAAATGTCTCCCTGCAATCTCTCAGATATGCCCTTCAAAAGTGGAATAGTCTCTTCCCTTCTTGGTCGGGGATTGAAGCTGTACGGGTGACAGTTTCAAACAAACAAGAGATGGCACAGCCAGGCGTTCTTAGGTCGCGCATATGCCTCGTGTTATAGCGAAGCGATTTGACTGACAGCTAGGGCTTGTCTTGTCACATTACGTCTTCAGTCAAATATGACGAATGTTCGTTTGCACAGATAAAGGAACAATTTCCTTTTTAAAAAAAGAGGGAGAGGCAGAGGACCGTTTCTAATTCAACTTTTATTAATAGCAGCCACATTCTGCTAAGAAAACAAAGGCTTTGGTTGTACATCCTTTTAAAAGACTTTTCAATTTGCAGGTGTTGGATTGAATTGCAGTCCTTGGCAGTGCAGGCTGGATCTGAGAGGGGATTCTCATCTCATTTCGTTCCAGAAGGAAGGTGTCATCTTGCAAGGAGAATTCTCAGGGGCTAGATCTTCTTTTCCTCTTCAGTCCATGGCAACAGTGACCTCCTGCAGCCCCAGAGCAAGAGCCAAGATTTATAGAATATAGAGAAACAATTTCGCATTTGTGAAGGTTGCAGCACCAGCAATATAGTGCTTGACAGCAAAGATAGGAACTTATACTCCCCAGAAATCATAGGAACACAGGAACCTGCCTTAAACCAAGTCAGACCCTTGCTCCATGTGGCCCAGTATGGTCTACACTGGCCGGCAGCATCTGTCCAGTGTTTGAGAAAGACTTATCTCCCAGTCCTACCTGCAGATGCCAAGGGTTGAACCCAGGACTTTCAGCATGCAAAGCAGATGCTCTACCACTGAGCTGTGGCCCTTCCACCTCTGAGGTTCTTCCAGGTGGGCATTTATTGTGGGATGAGTGCTTCTCACACATGCATTGTCAGCATCAAAATGCCAGTTTGTATCCATGCACCCCTCCTTAAACCTGGATTCACTCTTTCCAAGGAAGAGGGAACCTTCCACGCCAACCAATGACCCATTTGAGATCCCTGAACAACCATTTGAAATATTAAAACCTGGTCTAGAAGCACCCTGGATACTGGAGGCAAAATATAGAGCCACCATAACTGGTAACCACTGAAAGCTATGTCTGTCCTAAATTTGTCTAATCCTCATTTTGGAACCATCCATGTTGGGAGCCACCACTACATATTATGAGAGCAAATTCTGCAGTTTAACTCTGCTCCTTGAAGAAGTCCTTCCTTTTGCCTGTCTTGACTCACCCTCTCCCACATTCCCTCTCACTGGATGGTGCTACTGGGTTCTAGTATTACTTTCTCCACACCGCACATAATTTTGTCCGCCTACATCTCCTCCCCACACCTTCCCCCCACTAAATCAACAAATAAGCCCCACACAGGGAAGCTCCTGTTGTTGCTTGATCTTTTGTTGATGCACCAGGGGTGGGGCTTGCGTATCCTTCCTTCTTCTGTCTCTCTTTCATGCATCCTTGTGTCACGGCTAGCTAGAAATACAGAATCCAAACAGATTTCAAAGACCTCCTTCTCCCCCCACCCTGCCGTGCCCAGATCTCTCTTCCAGCTTCCCCTATCTGCAGCGTGCACACAGCACATTTCACTAGCAGCCCTTCCTCCTCTGTAGTCTGGGATGATACTCCAGAAAAAATCCACCAACCTATATAGTACAAACTTAATATCAGAGAGTTAAAATAAAAATAAAGATGCCTAACCTTGGGAGCACCTTTCTTTTCTTCCCCCTCTCTTTTTCTCCTCCTCCTGCTCTTTCATTTCTGTCGAGTTTGTTCTTGACCTGAGTCTTTGTACAACAAGAAGTGGAGGTTCTTAGAATGACTAGGAACATTCTCTCTCTCCCTTTTGCAAAAGCCCTGCTGGTGGTAGGAGAGGATATCCAGCATGAAGAAGGCAGTGGACTGGAGGGGAAAGCTACCCGGATGCTAAATGACAGCTTTTCTTCTTCAAAGAAAACCAGGGTGTAGAACTGCTGCAGATGCTCTCCTTTGCTCTAATGGTTTCCCACTCATGTGGGGAAGTCAGCTTGCTTAGAAGAACATCTAGCACAGAGCATTCTTGGATGCAGGGATCAGAAGATGTCTTCACACAACCAGACTGGAGTTGGGGTCGGGGGGGCGCGCATCACGAGGTGCCTTCTCCCCTCTGTAGTCATGTGATAACAGTGGCTCCATGAAAGAGGCGCCACAAAGTCACCATGTCTGTGCTGTGTGTGTTTCAGAAACTTGCAATGGTATTGCATATTTGAGTGTAGGCAAGGCAGATGCTTCTTCCTGGGTGCCATAGGAAATGAGGAGGCAACAGTTTTTAAAACACCACTCTGCATGTTTTTTGCTTTAATATGGTCAAGCGTGTGTACCTGTGTGCATGTGTGCATGCGCCAAGAAATGTTGTGTGTGTGAATCCCAGTTGAAATGTGGAAACCTAGCCAGTTGGCATAGATTTGCTCAGATCGCACTACAAGTTCGCAGCGATTCCTGCATTGAAGTGAGTCAGACTATGTGATCCTTTGGGCCCCTTCTAACCCTACAATTTTATGATTCTATGACCCAAAGTTGGAAAAGGCAACAAAGCGACCGAGACATTATTATAGTCTTAGTCACATCCAGACACACAGACTGTAATACATTCTACATGGAGCTACCTTTGAAGAGTTCTCAAAAATTGCAGTGGGTAGAAAACGAATGCACCAGACTGTGGACTGTAGTGGGTGGTAGAGAACATGCAATGCCCAATTCTGAATCATCAGCATTTTGAAACATAAACATTTTCAAACATCTGCCCCCTTGTTGCTGGTTTTCCCACAGCAGGTTAAGCTGCCTTTGCTTCAGAGGGCATTTCTGGGAGGTTTGTGTGTCTGTCAAATGAGCTGCTGTGTCAGCAGTTATAGTTTGCTGCTGCAAAATCCTGCATGTGTTGTTTTAATCATTTGTGTTTTTATTTTGTTTTTGTTTTATTATCCTATCTTTTAATATTTCTAACATTTATTGTAAGGTGAATCGAGATGATTTGGCACAAGATGACAAGTATTAAAATGTAAAACAAATGGGGTGGCAGTCTAGTTTTGCTCCCCCACCCCCAGTCTCTTGAAATCCTGCTCAGCCTTCTTGGCTAGACTGAATCACTCCACAATTTACAGAATTTCCCCTGCAGAGACAGTGAGGGGCAGAAAGATCAAACATCTGGTTTGGCCCCAAATATGTTTTGATCATTGAATGGCTCCTAAAGACCCTGGGAGCATCTCAAGGGTAAGCAGTGAGAAAGCCACTTCCCCCACACTCCTGTATGCTCTGTATATTTTCCCAAGGCATTTAAGTCCCAGTTTCAGAGATGGTTCAAGAGGAGAACCTGAGCTCCAGTTCCCAAACAGCTCCAGGCAACAAAGCAAGCATACTCAGAATACCTCCAATGTGCTTTTGAAAGAAGAACTAATAGCATACATACACTGCTGTCTGTACCTCTACGTGATGCACATTGTTGTAAATGAGTCCAACAGGAAACTGTCAGAGGAAACAAAAACCTGCCAGCCAATAACCAATTTCCAGCATTTTCGTGCTTGCTAATAATTGACTGCTTAGGAGAGGATTTAATTTGATAGGCCTGTAATCAATGACATTTTCCACTCTCAGGCACTGGAGCAGTAGCAGCTGAATCAGAAAGGCCCAGCACTAGATCCCTGGAGCAGAGCACTTTTGTCCCTGCTCTGCTGTCCATCATTTGACTGTTGCTGCAGTTTATTTCTGCCTGATGCCCACTTATGGTGCTCAGAGACACAAAATGCAAGAGCAATGTCCCTGATCCCCACTCCTCTTCAGCTCTCCCTCCCTCCCTCGTCTCTATGATTGCATACACATCATACATTTAAAACACCATTTAAGCATATCCTGTCCTGTCTCCAAAAGAAGAAGAAGAAGAATCTTGGGCGGCACCTACACACTTTGGAATTCCCTGCCTATTAGGGCAGTCCTGAAACACACACACACACACACACACACACACACACACACACACGTGATTGTTAATCAAATATGATTCCTGAAAAGGGCTACATATAATTATAAACCTGTTATCCTGATCAATTGTGATGCTCACAACTGAGAGAGTAGCTAGCACAAAGAAGATGAAGACCAATAGGCCCCGGGGCTGGGGAAAAAGACAAAATCAGGACCCTGGACAAGGTTCAATAGGTTCAGCACCACGGCTAGCAACCCTGCTGTTGATGCAGAAAAAGCCACTTGTCTAAGCTCTTTCCTGGATCAACAGCTTTCTAGTCTGAGCTAGGTAGTCAAGATGGAAGTCCCACCCCATTGAATGCTGCATGTGGCTTCTTAAAGGGGTGGACCCTTTTCCTGCAGTGGCTGGCTTTTTCTAGGCAGGGGGTTTCAATCTTCTTTGAGGGGAGGGTGTTTCTCAGGGCTCTCCTGACCCTTTGAGGAGCCCATGGTCTGGTCACTGGAGCCTTGACAGCACAGGTGCTCCTCAGGGTTCAGGAGTTAGGTTGTGGGCTCCAGTGCCAGTGAATCCACATGGGAAGGGCTTGCAAGTGCATCCATCTCCTCCTCAGGGCAACTGTTGTCAGAGGAATCTGCATCTGAGGATTCCTAGTCCAGCCATCTATCATGATTGGAAGCAATGTGTCTCCAAAAACCAGTTACTGAGGGGTATTAGCAAGTGAAGGCCATTGCTTGTGGAACACAGTGGAGGTTTCCTGGAGGTATTTGGTTGGCTACTGTGGAAATAGGATCCAGGAACTCGTAGACCTTGCATATGAGCAAGCAGGGTTCTTCTGATCTCCAGTAGTCCATCCCTGCAGTGGCTAAGCTAATGATGGAAAATTCAGAAACTTTCCACTTGCCTCCCAAAATTGTGGGTGGAAACAAAGAGCCTTGAGCCAGCTTTAATAGCCCTCTGTGTTATTGCTATTACCACTGACAATGACTCTGAAAATAAGCAAGTAGGGTACATATAGCCAACTATGTTGCCAAAAGCCACAGGTGTCTACACAAATGCATGTGTGCACACACACAGAGACGGATCCAGCAACCAAGCTTTAAGCTTTTAAGTGGTTACTATATTATTGCCAGCTGTCTGTTTCCACCCAATAAGAAATAAAAAAGTAGTAGCCTTTGATTCATTCATTCATTTGTTTGCAAGGTAATGGCAATTCAATATCTAATCTCTGATCCGTCTGTCACAGCTAGATTTGCTCACTAATAACTCTGCCCCCTTTCTGTTTATTGTACACAGTTAAAGGATATGCCATTCTCTTATGAAACAAACACAAGTGTGGCAGTAAAGGGGGGCGGTGTAAGCCCCACCTCCCCCCAAATAACAGAACACAAACAACAATAGGAAACAGCGCTGCTAATTGAAGTGCCTCCAAATTCATTTCCAGCTTCCTTGTGTTATGACAATATGGATAGTGCAGTCCAAAGGCAACTATTAAATGTATATCTTGCAGATAAAACTAAAATGAGAGCGAGATTGCTTTGTAATAGCATTTGAGGCAGAAAGTAGAATGTCAAAGCAAACACAAAAGGTATGTGATTTCATAAAGTGGGTTTTCATACAAGACACACAAGCACCAAGGGAAAGAACAGGCCTTGTTTTACTAGGGCTTTTGGGCATTTAGCACACATGATGCTTACTTTGACTCTAGTCCTCTCCTGCACTATTTTTGTTAACTCTGGGCATGATGTGGAGGAGATGAGTGAAGGGAGTATAAATGCAGATTAGCATTCTGAGTAATCCATGTTTTCCATTCATATTGCAGAGTGGGTAGGCAGAACAATAAATGACTTAAACCCTTTGTGTAAATG